GCTTGATCCATGGGCTCATCTTGGTTGCTTTCTTGTCCACTTTCATCAATCAACTAATTCACTTCTTCTCCTTCCTCTTCACTCTCAGACTCATCACTCTCTTCCCTTGGAGTGTACACGCCAATCTCGAACTCTCCCAATTCACTCTCACTGCTGATTGGGTCATTCCTCCTCTTGGTCCTTCTCTCTTCCCTCAATCTCTCAATCTCTTCCTCATCTTCCTTGGTTAGTGTCTTAAGCATTCTCCTTGCTCCTCTTGTTATCTCCCTCTTTCTGAACGCTGCCTTGCTTCCTTCACCTCTCAACATCTTAAACTGGTTGCTTCTTGAAGTTGGGTTCCTGAAATGCATCAAAAACTCAAGGAATTATAGTTGTAATCGTTGGTTCGGTCAACTCGACACTCAGCTCGATCGAGTCAAAAAAAACTCGAGTGACAAACTCGATTGAGCTAAGCGAAAACAGAGTAGAACCGAACCTATATCAAACAATAAGAGCTGGAAAGGATGCTTAATAAACATATTGAACCAAAAACAACAAGTAAATGGAACAATAAGCAATTCTAGTGAAAACCAAAGCATCCTAACCATTACCAAACTCAAATTCAATGGAAACAAGACATGCAACAAGTTCTAATGGAAAAACAGAGGTGAAGTGAGGCAAATTCACAAAACTATAAACATGAGATTGATATGAAAGCAATTTCTCAAGAACAAACCCACAAGGGGCACATGCAATCAAAATCAAAGAGAGAACAAGCAATAATGAGAAATCGAGATGAGGGAAACAAAGGTTTTTAAGGCTCATACCTTGCTTGTGGTGATGAATTGAAGAACAGAAACTAGAACCAAAGTAAAACAATGAAGAACAAGAGGAAATCGTGAAACTTAAGAGAGAAAGATTGAAACTCAAAATTTTCTTGTGGTGAAGAGAGAGAGAGGGATGATTTTCAGAAAAATAGAGTGTGACAGAGATGGAGAAAGGGGTTAAATGATAGGATTTGTGTGTGGATGTGAAAGATATGAAATGAGATGTGGTGGAATGCAACAGTGGTATATGATGAGGTGGTAAGATGCAAACACAAACACAGTCAACAATTCCCTTTAACCATGATAGTTGTTATAGCATAAAGGGTATCAATCCAAAATGGGAGAAGTTGTCACTCTATGAGAATATGAAACACAAGGAAGTCAAGCAAGCAGTAATAGATATGGGGTAACACTAACAACCTAAATGAAACAGAAATGCAATGCAGAAAGTAAATAAAGCAGTAGAGCAACAGCTCGACCAAGGACTCGAGTCGAGTGGAACAGAGTACCGAGCTCGATCGAGTTTAGGGTCGAGTTGAAGTAAAAAGCAATAAAGGCAGCGACTTTAACAAGCTAGAACGAAAATTAGGGTCTAAGACAGGGTTTATCACTTAATCAATCTTGCTCTCAAACACTTGTATCAAGGTATCTCTTGATATTGAGCTTCTCAATGCCTAGCTAACCCTTTCCCAAGGTGAAAGCTATCAACCAAGACTTGATCTCAGAAACAGGGGGTTAGCCAGTGAGAATCAAGCCTTGGAGGCCATAGGATCATTGCTCAAACTAATCCATCCAACCCCTATGAACTCCATTTCGAGAGCAAGAGTTATTGGAGCTCTTAGTGGACCTTTTCCAACGATTTCCATCACTTCCATGTGGAGAATCGCCTATGGACATACAAGCCAGGGATAGTGGTCATGTAGCCTTAAGATTTGTCCAAAAGAGAGAGATTTCTAGATTAAGAACATAAGCAAGAAGGATTAAGCATAAAATCCCCTAATCTATCCCATCTCAAACCTAATGGGAACTACTCACTACACATGAATGTAAACACAAGCAAATGCAATAAAAGAGACATCATAAGAAAGAGGAGATGAAATAAACAACTTTTATTGAAATAAGCAAGTGCAAATACAAAAGAGATTATCCAGGATCTAGGATTCAAGAAGCAAGAGCTTCAAGAACACAAAGATGGGATTAGAGCTCTAAAAAGTAAAAGACAATAATTAAAAGAAACTAAAACAAAAAGTAATCTAAAGCTTGGTGGTTTTTTCGTGGCTTTTAGCCTTAAATACAAAGAGGATTAGGTTTAGGGTCAAAGGAAGTCAAGGGGGAAGCAACATTTTTCGGGTTTGACTTTGACTTCTCAGCTCGATCGAGTTGAAGCTTGGCCGGTCGAGTTGAGGAACTCGACTTGGTCGAGTAGGGAAGAAGGAGGAAACCATCGTAAAGACCAGCTTGACCATCTACTCGACCAACTGGTCGAGTTCCTCAACTCGACCAGCCAAGCTTCAACTCGATCGAGCTAAGAAGTCAACAGTAAAACCCAAAAAATGTTGCTTCCCCCTTGACTTCCCTTTGACCTTAAACCTAATCCTCTTTGTATTTAAGGGCTAAAAGCCACGAAAAAAACATCAAGCTTTAGATTACTTTTTGTTTTAGTTTCTTTTTAATTATTGTCTTTACTTTTTAGAGCTCTAATCCCATCTTTGGTTGGTCGAGTAGATGGTCGAGCTGGTCTTCAAGATGGCTTCCTCCTTCTTCCTTTGCGTATCCAGTTGAGCTGCGTCCATGCACCAAGTCCTGCTTTGCTCCTCTCGTCCCATATGCTCCAAAGTGCTCCAAAAGACCTATTTCAAGGATCAAACATGCATATGTATGCAAATGCAACCTAAAACTACTATGAATGCAGAAGAAGAGAAAAGAACAAGATATGATGCTAATGGATGCTAAAACTATGCAAAAGATGCATAAAAGATGTACTAAAACCATGCAAAATGCAAGTACATCATATAGTTGGGTCCAAGGTGATTGTGCACACTGACCATGCTGCCCTTAGGCACATCTTTACAGAAGTTGCATAGCTGAAGAGGATGTACAAGGAGTTCTAGAGCATTGCCATGGGTCAGCTTATGGAGGTCACTTTGCTACATTCAAAACAGCAACTAAGGTTTGCAATCTGGTTTATGGTGGCCTACTTTGTTTAAGGATGCAGCAAGCTTCATTGCCAAGTGTGATCCGTGCCAAAGGAAAGGGAAGTATCACCAAGAGAGATGAAATGCCACTAAACCCAATTCTAGAAGTTGAGATCTTTGATGTATGGGGAATAGACTTCATGGGACCTTTCAAACCTTCCTCAAACGGGCACAACTACATTTTGGTTGCTGTGGACTATGTGTCCAAATGGATTGAAGCCATTCCCTGCCCAGCCTGTGATGCTAAGGTGTTATCAAACTGTTCAGAACCATCATCTTTCCAAGATATGGCATCCCAAGGGTTGTTATTTCGGATGGAGGTTCCCATTTCATCAACAAGGTGTTTGAGAAGTTGATGAAGAGTTATGGAGTCAAGCACAAGGTCGCTACACCCTTACCCCTCAAACCAGTGGGCAAGTTGAGGTCTCCAACAGACAGATAAGGCCATTTGGAGAAGACTGTGAGCTTCACTAGGAAAGGATTGGTCAACAAGACTTGATGAGCACTTTGGGCTTATAGAACAGCTTACAAAACCCCCATTGGAAGGTCTCCTTTCAATTTGTATGGGAAGGATTGCCACTTACCTGTGGAGGTCGAATACAAGGCTTTATGGGCAGTAAAGATGCTGAACTTTGACATAAAGGCAGCACAAGAAAGGAGGGTAATGAACTTGTTTGAGTTGGAAGAAATCAGAATGAATGCCTATGAGAACTCCATGATCTATAAGATGAGAACAAGGCAGCCCACGACAAACTGATTCGCCTTAAGGACTTCAAGGTTGGGGACAGTGTGCTCTTGTATAACTCCAAGCTAAGGTTGTTTCCCGGGAAGCTAAGGTCAAAGTGGGCGGGACCATTCAAGATTCACGAAGTTCTACCCTATGGATCCCTCACTCTACTCAATCAAGAGGGGAAGAATTCACAGTGAATGGGCATAGATGCAAGCCATATCTAGGAATGACCCCCACAGAGGAGATCATCACTCCTCTACAAGATCCAACCCCGGCTAAAAGGGGTAAGGTCAAGCTATGAGACCTAAAACAAGCTCACTTGGGAGGAATTCCCATGTCTATCTTGTACATATTTCTCTTATCTTTTATCTCTGCGTTTTTCTCAGCTAAGTCTTGCAGGAACAGGTTTTAGGAAGGAAAGTCAACCAACTCGAGGCACAACTCGATCGAGCCAAGAGCAAGCTCGATCGAGTGAGTGAACCCGTCGAGTGGAGTGCTCCTGATGGCCGTCTACCCTCTCCAGACCACGACCTTGCCTCCCAGTTCTTTGGGGGGCACTGAGGTATCCAAACACCAACCCTTGTAATACCATTTCATATTTTCTTTGCTTTTTTTTCTTGGTTTTGCCCTCTTGAATCTTTCACTAAATTTCTCACACAAGGGACTGTGTGATTTAAGTTTGGGGGAGGGTTCAAGAGATGATTTAACCTTGTTTTCTTTGTTCTTAGTTTTTCATTTCTTTTGCATAGAAAAACCAAAAAAATCATAAAATTTTCAAAAAATCCAAAAATATTTTCATCTTTTTGCATTCATATTTGTAGACTTGTTTAGGATTGCATTTTCACTTGCATTGTTGATTTGACTTTGAAAACTTGTCCATCTTTTGCGATTTCTTGAGTGCCCTGTTTTTAGATTCTCTTGTGCATTAGGGTGAGATTGATTGAGCAGCAAGAACCATGTTTATCTTGATCATATCACTGCATGCACATCTCATTCAACCATTGCTGTGATTTGATGCATTTCCCTATCTATTTGAACCATAACTTGATCTTTAATTACCAATGCTTGCATTTGATTTCAACTCATGGCTACCACATACATATCTGGACATTCTTTACCATTTTCATATCCCTTTGCTTGTCCAGATAGCTGATCTCTATCTTTGAGACAGTTACCACACCTAAACCTAAGTGTTGAACTCGATCGAGTTAGGATTAGACGGCTCGAGCTGCTGCTCTTGCACCATCTTTGGTTCTAACACTTAGCCTTCTGCCAAAGCAAAGCCACTTTCTTGAGAGATCCCTGTTAACTAAACCACCATACAAAAGAGACCCTCTTTGTCTCTTAACCCATAAACCCTTGAAACCAAATGAGTTGATTGATCTTGCATGTTTTTGGTTCATTGTTTTTGCTTAATAAATGTTAAAGGGATTTGCTGATTTGAATGCATTGTTTGAGTAACTGTTGATATATCCATATCTTTCATGTTTTTATCAAGGTTTTCACTATGTTTTTAATACAAATAATGTGGTTTTTAAGCCCAAGAGGTAGTTTTCTTGTATATTCTGGTTTTGAGCATCATTCAGGTCAAAATAGCAAAGAAGAGTCCAAAATGGAGCAAAAGAGTCAAATCACCAAGTTCCCAAGTCTAGAGCACCAAATCTACATTTCTCGCTAAAGACCAAACCGGAGCATCCGAAGTACGACCGCATATTCATGCCTTCCCGACGTCCAAAAGTCATGATTCTTATATGGAAAGATAGATATTTGAGTCGTGACCCGCGGCGAAGTGGAAAGAGGTCATTTGGATCACTCGTTGGACCGGAACTTATTTTCTACCAAGACATGTCCGACGAGCGCCTAAGTAGAGCCCATGGAGACTTTGATGGATCAAGAGGCCCGGATACCGCGCCCAAGGCCTTGGCTCATCTTGACACTAGCATAACTCAATCCAGAAGCTTCCATTGGCCTGAACGCGGCCCATTCAAGAACTTGGAGAGCAAGCTCAAGCGGCTAAAGAGAAATGGAAACTTTCCTCTTCTGCGCGCGCTCAACTTTGCCGACCTAGACCCGCTCTCTACCTATATATACTTGCTTTTAGCCTCTTGTAATAAGAATCACCAGCCGCATAACAAGAAACACTTATTCAATAAAGAGCCACTTAGGTGGTCTCCTTCTTCTTTCTTTTCTTCTTTTGCATTTGTATATAGCTTGCATGTTTCAATTTATATAGTCTAGAAGTAGAGATTTCTCCCTAAGGGTGAGGCGTGGTTTAGTCCATATTCCGCCGCCTCTCTCTCTAAGGATTCATGAGACTTCATCTACTATCTAAGACTCATTGTTGAATTATGGATCCTTCCAATGAGGACGTGATATAATGGCCATCGAAAATCGATTGTTAAAAGGGGAAACCCTATGGTTCTCCATCTTTATTTATGCTTAATGCTTGTTGCTAGAGTAGCTAACTAGTGACTTGATTTTAGGTTGATATACTCTCCAAAAGCTTGTTATATCTCCGGACACAGTATTTGATGGGCAAATCGTTTTAGGCTACGAAAGTAGACCTAAAGAGTTTTGTGAACAATCATTACTTGGATGTAATGCATGTCTCACTCTACAATGACCAACGAAAGCTGAGCCCATTGGTTTAAGAGACATAGGGGATTGGAACCACGAAAGTGGAATAATCCTTCCTTAGTGTTTTGAGTTCAAAAGAATCGGATTTTAACAAACTTTTCAATCGACTTGGCTCATGTTTTCAAAAGAGTTTTCAATAGTTCAATAATGTTGCTTGTATAGAATTGCATTGTTATTTCTTTTGCGTGTTCTAAACAAACACAAACCCTTGCATCTTTTGATTTAGCTTAGTCATTTAAACTCTATGATTATGTAATGTGTGAAATCCAATCCCTTGTGGTTCGACCCCTAAATACTACAATTATATGTTGTGCACTTGCAACACTAGTTGTCTTAGGGAATTATTACTTGTACTCATCCCATAGATGCCGCATCAAGTTTTTGGCGCCGTTGCCGGGGATTGCATCATAAACACTTGCATAGTCTTGTTTAAAACTAAGTCTAGATCTTGGTATTTTCGAATACTAACTTTTTCTTTTTTCTTGTGTTTATAGGTACTTGGAGATGAATCACAACACCAACATCCACTTTGGGAACCGGACACTGATCCCACACGATCTCCACGGCCGGAGTTACCAAGACCCAGCCGTAAGCATCGTGCCACATCCGTTCCCTCCCAACCGCGCTCATCCGACGTTTGAAGGACCTAGCCGAGACGAGCATCATTACCATCATCATCAAAACCGACCTCCGGTTTATCATCAACCACCTAGACCAGTGTTGCATTCACACCACGACCATGTTCTCAATAGGCGGAGAGATAGCCATTTCGATGCCGTGCTTGAGGGTTTCATGGAGAGCCAAAGAAAAACTAGCCGCGACATTGAGACAAAGCTAGAGTTCACGCGATACGAACTAGATGGAAGACTTGGAGAACTCTCTACCCAAATAGAGAGAGTAGAGTCAAGATGCTTGGACATGGAGGAAGATTTGAAGAAGCAAGGCGAGGCCATTGAAGACAATAGGAGAGCGATACACTTTACCAAAGTTTCTACCAAGGAGATGGACAATCACTTAGATGAGAAGATCACAAGTCTTGATAACAACCTCGATGGCACCACCAAGAGTCTCAATTCAATAACAGCAGTAGCTCATCAAGCTAAGAGGGAGGTAGCCGAAGTAACCCTAAAGAGAGGCAATGTTACTCGACGATGCTTACATTGGTGGAAGGGCAAAAACAAGTGAAGGCACAAATCCGAGATTTACACATCTCTCTAGACAAGAGGAGCCAAGATATTCAAAGAAGAGCTAGAGGGCTTGAAGACAAAGTAGATGGAGTCTCCAAGGAAGTCAAGGATTTAACCACTCGCTTAGCCAACTTGGAAGAGAAGGTCTTGACCGAGGCAAAGACGACCGTTCTAAGCACAACCATGCCGCGCCCGTCTTTACTATAAGAGAGACCGACCCAAGAGTGATTTGGGATGAAGAAGAAAGAGAGCTGATCAAGAAAGAGCCACAAGGCTAACCACTGGAACAAGAGAGAAGATAGCACCAAAAGGAAGAACCCTTACTCAAAGGTCTTCACAACCGCCTCCCACCAAGGAGAAGAGGAAGACAAGATCATCACTTGAAGAGATCATAGATGATTTCAACTTTATGGCGAGGAGATTCCCTTATGGTGTGCCGTTTGATAATGCTTGCAACAAGAGTCCATTCATGCAAGACCTAGCTTGGACACAAGATTGGAGTCTAGCTGAATTGGAAAAGATGTACGAGGAAGCAAGAAAGGGGATGCCTAAACCTAGGTTTCTACACAAGCTTCATGACCCAGGTTACTTCCTTATACATTTCTCTATCAATGGAAGCTACTTTGATGATGCTCTTTGCGATTCCGGTTCTAGTGTGAACCTTATGCCGGCCGAGATAGCCAAGAAGTTGGGATTGATCAATTCAATTGTGAAATCTCGAATGGATTTAAAGCTAGCTGATTCATCATTGACCGAACCACTTGGAGAGGTTAAAGACATTCAGCTTGATTTTGGAGGCTGCATAGTTCCAGCCAACTTCTATGTAGTAACCATGAAGGATCCGGAGGACTTAAAGCTTTTGCTTGGAAGATCATTCCTAGCCACAGCTGGAGCGATCATGGATTGGCCTAATAGAAGAATCTCTCTAGCCAATGTTGACAAGGACACCTTCTACGATGCTGCACCTCCCGGTTTCTCATCCAAGCGATTTCGCTACACAAGTGGAGGAGAGTGCTCACAAGTAAGAGGAGAGTCGCATGGCTACTTGATCAAGGAAGTTCTACAGGACAAGATGCACTTGGAATCATCAGGCAACAGGAAGTTCTTGGAGCCACCAATCCTACCTAACTAAGAACACAAAGGAGTCGAGCTACAAAGACTTAAAACAAGCGCTTGTGGGAGGCAACCCACATTTTCTTATCCCTTCCTCTTTTTATTTTTGTTTTTATTTTTATAACTACTTATTTGTTCTATTTATAACTCTTAAATTTTTGAGAGTTTAATAAATTTTACAAAAATAAAATAAAAAGTGTTTTAGGAAAAAGTACCAAAAAGGAGGTCTACATGAAAAATGCATTGGAAAAGCTACATCGCCACAATCGGCCAAGGATCAACCATCTTTGGTCTAAGTAAGCATTGAGTCTAGTTTGAGTCCCACCCAAGTCCCACCCATGTTTCAAGAAGAAGTCCAAGAAGGGCGCACAATCCGGCCATTGGAACACTATTGCACAAGGCAAAGGTAAGTATCTCTCCCATTCAAATGTCATTTCTCAAAAACATTATCTCTACTTATTTCACACATGAACACTACTTGGATCTCTGATCAAGATCCAAGTACATGTAGTGTCACGATCAAGTCATTGATTGGGAAGTTCAAATACTTGAGCATCTCAATCATTGACAGAGTTTAACAAAGAGTTACTAGTGTTTTTCAGATTAAAACATGACAGGAAAAACCGGTTCAAAATATCAAACAAACATGGCGCGCAAGGAGCCACAACCGGCCAAAGGAGGATTTACATGCCAAACATGAGAGATGAGGGAAATCCAACCACAATTCAATCCAGGAGGGATAGAAAAACAGTTCGGTCGAAGCAGAACTCAATTGGCCCGAGTAAAAAAGGAGATATCACATTCCAATCACTCTCTCGGCCAGAATCGACGAACCAAGCGACAATGCTCGACCATCTCCCAAACGGCACGACCGAAGTCCACCAAACTTCACAGGCGACCTCAAAACATCATTTTGGTCGGCAAATCCAAAAGATAGGACGAGAAAAAGTGCCTGCTACGTGAGATAGACGAGGAAGCTCAATACGGCCGACGGCGATGCATAGAATGGCCGACGAACTCAAAACCTCAAGAAGGCGCGAACACCGGTGGAAACTGATCCTCTGGAGTCCAAAAAACACCAAGGAAGAAGAAAGGAAGGAGACGATCGAACAGAATACAAGATGGCCAAAGGAATCACATCCCGACGCCATTGGCGCGCACGACGAAAGATCTCCGAATCCACACGTTCAAATCGCCTCAAACTTCACAAGGAGCCACAAAACATAAGGTTGGTCGATGAAATTTCATTTCAGTACAATGAATTCCTTACAATTCAAGAGATGGCCGATGGAGTGAAATTTGGCCGATCGCGAGCAAGTAAAATGGCCGACAATCCAAATCACGGCATTTACCGCGGCCACCGGCTCAAATCACCTCAATCAAGCATCCACATCGCATCTAAAGAAGAAAATCCGGATTGGAACGAGCAGAATTGGAGAAGTTCCCGGAGCCAATTTGAAAATTTTTCAAAGGAGATCTCAAACCACTCGTTCAAACGACCCCAAACTTCACCAGTCGCCATATTATACAATATTGGTCGACGAAATTTCAAGATAGGTCGAGGAAATCTTCACGGTTCGAGCTGTAGTCCATACCATCACCATCCGGTCGACCAAAACGGACCAGTCTCGGCCAAAAAGGCGAAAAACAGAAAACCAAGGGAGAATTGTCACATTCATCCAACCAAATCCAACAGCTATGATGTTTGCACCAGTCAGTTCATTCCTGGAAGCAACTACAAGCGCACAACCGATCTTCACATCAAAGGCCAAAAATTTGGGTACAATTTTCTACAAACTCTAACTTTTCCATTCATATTTATCATTACCTCTCTTAATTGGATTTTTCTTACACCGAGACGGTGCAAGTTAAGTCTGGGGGGATTACTAACAAGTTTGTTCTTTTTGGCTTCCCTATCTCTCCCCTTCAATTTAAAAGAAAAAGCGTAAGGTCCAAGTAACCGGGGATTCGGTGGCAAACACCATCAATACTCGCGTCTATGGAAGGCCTATGAATCCAAGCAACCGGGGATTCGGTGGCAAACACCATCAATACTCGCGTCTGTGGAAGATCCAAGCAAAACCTCTATAATAAAGAGAAGGAGTTGAATAAAAAAATACTTCGCTACCCTAAAAAAGGGATGAGTCAACTCAAAGAAGTGAGAAGAGAGAGAGGAGAAACATGGAGTAAAAAGACAAGTGCCAAAACAAGGGGATGAGTAAGAGTCTAAAGCCGGCTGATCGATACTCCCTAGTTGAGACCACACCTTTAGAAATGAAAGGAGTCAAGGAGGGTGAATTGGATTGTCCAAAGAGAGGTGGGCCGCCTTGGAAAAATCGCAAAACTCATGGTATGTACTCTTGTTCTTAATTCAAATATTTGCCTCTACTACTTTCATGTGGATTACTAAAACCAAGCCAACCCGGATTTCCTAATGATTTGAGAGTTCTTGCGTTTTCAAACCTCTCTTCCTCTCTTAGTTTGCTTGGGGACAAGCAAAAGGCTAAGTCTGGGGGAGTTGATATACCCATATCTTTCATGTTTTTATCAAGGTTTTCACTATGTTTTTAATACAAATAATGTGGTTTTTAAGCCCAAGAGGTAGTTTTCTTGTATATTCTGGTTTTGAGCATCATTCAGGTCAAAATAGCAAAGAAGAGTCCAAAATGGAGCAAAAAGAGTCAAATCACCAAGTTCCCAAGTCTAGAGCACCAAAATACATTTCTCGCTAAAGACCAAACCGGAGCATCCGAAGTACGACCGCATGTTCATGCCTTCCCGACGTCCAAAAGTCATGATTCTTATATGGAAAGATAGATATTTGAGTCGTGACCCGCGGCGAAGTGGAAAGAGGTCATTTGGATCACTCGTTGGACCGGAACTTATTTTCTACCAAGACATGTCCGACGAGCGCCTAAGTAGAGCCCATGGAGACTTTGATGGATCAAGAGGCCCGGGATACCGCGCCCAAGGCCTTGGCTCATCTTGACACTAGCATAACTCAATCCAGAAGCTTCCATTGGCCTGAACGCGGCCCATTCAAGAACTTGGAGAGCAAGCTCAAGCGGCTAAAGAGAAATGGAAACTTTCCTCTTCTGCGCGCGCTCAACTTTGCCGACCTAGACCCGCTCTCTACCTATATATACTTGCTTTTAGCCTCTTGTAATAAGAATCACCAGCCGCATCAACTGTGAAGTGGGATTGATGTTGATAAGCATGGTTAAATCTTAATGAATATCTCTCACCTTGTTGCATTTAGAATCTCTAAGTTGGACATTTAGCAAATCGCTTTTGAGGACATGTTTTTAAGTGTTGAATCAAGCTGTTTTCAAACCTCATCTCTTTCTTGTTCTATTTGTTTGCTTGAGGGCAAGCAAAGGTCAAGTTTGGGGGTGTTGATGTACTTGCATTTTACATAGTTTTAGTACATCTTTTATGCATCTTTTGCATAGTTTTAGCATCCATTAGCATCATATCTTGTTCCTTTTCTCTTCTTATGCATTCATAGTAGTTTTAGGTTGCATTTGCATACATATGCATGTTTGGTCCTTTGAAATAGGTCTTTTGGAGCATTCTGGAGCATGGAAGGACTTGGCGCATGGACGCAGCTCAACTGGATACGCAAAGGAAGAAGGAGGAAGCCATCTTGAAGACCAGCTCGACCATCTACTCGACCAACCGGTCGAGTTCCTCAACTCGACCGGCCAAGCTTCAACTCGATCGAGCTGAGAAGTCAACAGTCAAACCCGAAAAATGTTGCTTCCCCCTTGACTTCCTTTGACCCTAAACCTAATCCTCTTTGTATTTAAAGGCTAAAAGCCACGAAAAAACCACCAAGCTTTAGATTACTTTTGTTTTAGTTTCTTTTAATTATTGTCTTTTACTTTTTAGAGCTCTAATCCCATCTTTGTGTTCTTGAAGCTCTTGCTTCTTGAATCCTAGATCCTGGATAATCTCTTTTGTATTTGCACTTGCTTATTTCAATAAAAGTTGTTTATCTTTATCTCCTCTTTCTTATGATGTTCTATTTATTGCATTTGCTTGTGTTTACATTCATGTGTAGTGAGTAGTTACCCATTAGGGTTTGAGATGGGATAGATTAGGGTTTCATATGCTTAATCCTTCTTGCTTATGGTCTTAATCTAGATTCTCTCTCTTTTGGATAAATCTTAAGGCTACATGACCACTACCCCTGGCTTGTATGTCCATTAGGCGATTCTCCACATGGAAGTGATGGAAATCGCTGGAAAAATCCACTAAGAGCTCCAATAACTCTTGCTCTAGAAATGGTCAAGGGGTTGGATGGATTAGTTTGGGCAATGATCCTATGGCCTCCAAGGTCTGATTCTCACTGGCCTCCAAGGAGTTTTCAAAGAGCAGGATCGATTAAGTGTAGCTTCCTATTGCAAAACCCTGTCTTGAACCCTAATTCTCGCATTAGCTTGTTAAAGTCGCTGCCTTTATTGCTTTTTCTTCAACTCGACCCTAAACTCGATCGAGCTCGGTACTCTGTTCCAACTCGACTCGAGTCCTTGGTCGAGCTGTTGCTTACTGCTTTATTTACTTTTACTGCATTGCATTTCATTTTTTAGGTTGTTAGTGTTACCCCATATCATTTACTGCTTGCTTGACTTCCTTGTTTTCATATTCTCATAGAGTGACAATTTCCCATTTTGGATTGATACCCTTTATGCTATAACAACTATCATGGTTAAAGGGAATTGTTGACTGTGTTTGTGTTTGCATCTTACCACCTCATCATATACCACTGTTGCATTCCACCACATCTCATTTCATATCTTTCACACCCACACACAAATCCTATCATCATCGACTCACTCACACTCAAGTCTCCTCCTCAAGTTCACACCTGAAGGATGCAAAGACAAAAATCTTTTAAATAGAAATCAATTAAAATAAAACTAAAAACTAAAACTTGATACAATGCGGCTCTCTTTCTCAAGAGGCTAAAAAGTTGTATTTATAGTACTAGGTCTTCAGAGGCGGCATTAGGTTAGTCGGGCAGTGAAAAACGTGTGAGACGGGCTTCAAAAGGGGTTCGGGTCGACCGGACCGTTCGGACAGTCGGTCCGGACGTTCGGCCGGCTATCGAGTGATGATCGGCCATTGGTACGATCGGGTCGATCGTGGCCGAGGGATTTCTCGTTTGGTCGTCGGGTTCGGTCGGATGGATGATAAAGGCTTGAATCTTCTGGCCGGATGATGTTGAGTCAGGTTTTACCAAACTCTTAGACCTCTGCAAGTGCACAGATCGCGGAAGTATGGGTATCGAACACAAGGACTGGCTATTGAGTACACTTTGAAACTATGGATTTTGGATCAAGCTAAAACAAAAGTATGATTGAGGTTGTAATGGTGAACCGAACTAGCAAGTATAACGAGGTTGTAAATCAATAAGGAAGAAGCGCTAGGTCAACAGGGGCTAATCGCAGAGAAGCAAGCAATGATCAATGAAACAATGATAGATGAATTGATTAGGGATGTTGGGATATTAAGAACCGTCTAGAACACAGATCACGAATATAAAACCATTCCACTTTCGAGGCTCCGGCTCCTTTGTTAATCTACCTAGTCGCTAAACTTTTGGTATGTCCCTAGGTGATTAAATCAAGCTTTAGAATGAATAGGTTCTGATACAGTTCACTAGATTATAGTAGATCAACTTTCGCAGTCTAAGAAACCTAGCTTGCCAAAGAATATGTCCGGCGAATGATACAACACTGTCGAGGCTCAAATCAACCTAAGATCGGATTACTAGATGCGCGGTAAAGCAATCAGCATTAGTTAAGTGCACAAGACGAGACAAAGACTCTATATAATCCCTAGCTAATCATCGAAATCAAAGATCATGCAAACAACTCATTGATTAGTAACCCTAGCAACCTAACTAGTGGATTACTCAGACATGATCAAAGCAAACACACATAGAGATGAAGAAAACATGATTGCAATAAAACTTAGAGTAGGAAATCGTGATACAAGGGCGGCTCTCTTTTCACAAGAGGCTAAAAAGCTATATATATAGTGCTAGGTCTTTAGAGGCGGCTTAGGGTTAAGCCGGGCCATGAAAATATGTGAAACGGGCTTCAAAACGGGCTTCGGGTCGACCGCGGCGTTCGGTCTTCCTGGTCGGACGGTACGATCGTGTATGCTGCACGGGTTGTGTTACGCGGTCGTGGAGCGATGCCTTCCTGTTCGTGCGGTGCGGTCGTGTGCGGCTTATGTTGGCGAGACTTGGACGGGACGACCGTGAGTTGTTGCTTCCTGGATTGGTACGTGAGCTCGGCCGTGCACTAGGCGGGATGGATGAAGCTCGGTGTTGTGATGTACTTGCATTTTGCATAGTTTTAGTACTCTTTTATGCATCTTTTTCATAGTTTTAGCATCCATTAGCATCATATCTTGTTCCTTTTCCCTTTTTATGCATTCATAGTAGTTTTTGGTTGCATTTGCATACATGTGCATGTTTGATCCTTGAATAGGTCTTTTTGGAGCACTTTGGAGCAATTGGGACATGAGGAGCAAGGAAAGACTTGTTGCATGGATTCAGCTCAACCGCACACGCTTAGGCTGAAGAAGGAAGCCGTCTTGAAGTAAGCTTGACCTATCTACAAGTAGCGGACCTACATGAGAAGAAGGGTGGTCACTTGACACCCCTAAACTAAATATATATTTAATTTGTGAGCTAATACATTAGTCTAATCGTAGCCTAGTTGGTTAAAATCCCCTTTTCTGACCCCCGTAACCAGATATCGAATCCCTCCCCTGACACCTAATTAACATTTTTACCCAGGTAAGAAAAATTCCTAGGTCGGCTACTGCCATCTACTCGACCGGCCAAGTTCCAACTCGATCTAGCTGCAGAGTCAATGGTCAAACCCGAAAAATGTTGCTTCCCTTTGACTCCCCTTTGACCCTAAACCTAATCCTTCTTGTATTTAAAGGCTTGTAGCCACGAAAAAGACAACAATCTTTAGCTTATTTTCGTTTTGCTTTTCTTTAATCTTGTAATTTTTACTTTTTGCAAAACCTAAGCCTCTCTTTGTGTTCTTGAGCTCTTGCTCTTGAACCTTAGATCTAGGCCTTATCTTTGTGTATTTGCACTTGCTTATTTCAATAAAAGTTCTTTAGTTTCATTCCCTCCTTCATATAATGTCTCTTTCATTGCATTTGATTCTGTATTCATCATGTGTAGTGAGTAGTTCTATCTAGGGTGTAAGATGGGCTAGACTAGAGGATCCTTATGCTTAATCTCTTTTGCTTATGTTCTTAATCTAGAAATCTCTCTCTTTTGGACAAACCTTAAGGCTACATGACCACTATCCCTGGCATGTATGAGTCTAGGCGATTTTCCTCATGGGAATGTTGGGAAATCGCTTGAAAAGGTCCACTAAGAGCTCCAATATGCTTGCTCTCGAAATGGAGTTTATAGGTGTTGGATGGGTTAGTTTGAGCAATGATCCTACTGCCTCTAAGGCTTGATTCTCACTGGCTAACCCCCTGTTTCTGAGATCTTGCCTTAGATGATAGCTTTCACCTTGGGAAAGGGTTAGCTAGGCTTGAGAAGCTCAATACCAAGAGATAGCTTGAGTACAAGTGGTTAATGAGCAAGATTGATTAAGTATAGTCTTCCCCTAGTCGCAAGACCCTGTCTTAGACCCTAGCCTTCGCATTATTGTATTAAAGTTCGCACTTTATCGCTTTTCCTCTGTTTTTACGTTAACTCGACCCTCAACTCGATCGAGCTCAGTTACTCTGTTTCCACTCGATCGAGCCCTTGGTCGAGCTGCTTTCATTTACTGCTTTCTTTTACTTTCTGCATTGCATTTCATTTCATTAGGTTGCTAGAGTTACTTCCCATCATCTTTACTGTCTGCTTGACTTCCTTGTGTTTGCATAAATCAAAGAGTAGCAACAAACCCTTATGGATTGATAACCTCTTATACTACATCGACTATGATGGTTAAGAGGAATTGATTGATTGTGATTGCACCATACCATCTCATCTTTATTCACCACTGTTTGCATTCCACCTCATATCTTCATATCATTTCATATCACCCACACACAAATCCTATCATCAATTTGGCGCCGTTGCCATTTGGGTTTGAATACTGTGGGCATTTGAGTTTTCAAATAACTTGAACGATCAAGCTATCCCACCTGTGATATTTGTATTGCTGGGTTTTTGATTCATTTTGCAGGTGCATGCGAACTCGATCGAGTCGAAAAATTGAAGACTTGGTGGAGCTAGATTTCACCACGGGCAGAAAAAAAAGTCGGAGGACTCATAGGGTACAAGCAGATTCAGAGGTGGTTGTTACTGAAACAATGGATGTACCAGAGGGTAATGGAAACCCTTTGGATAATGGACTCGGTCGAGCTAGGCAAACTCGACCGATTGGTCTCGGAGATGCTCCAAACCGCCATCAACAAAGACAAGGGATTGTCCCACCACCTGTGCAGAACCACAAGTTTTAGATCAAGCTGGGTATGATCAACCTTGTGCAGAACAAGATGTTCCATGGTGTTGGGCCCTAATTTATCACCTAAATTTAGGGCTGGGCCAGGCCCATTTGACAAAGCCCCTTTCGGATCAACCCGGCCGATTATGAGCCCACAAGTCCATCTTCATCCGCCGACGAGCCTAACTCGAGCATCAGCTCGAGGTTTTGACCCAGTTAAAGGAGCCCAACGAGGTCACACGAAATCCGGAAAACGTGCAACGGGACATCTCAAGGATCGCGGAGGAAGGTGGAACAGAAGCCGGCTATAAAAGGAGGGGATCATCGAAAGGAAGAGGGGATCTTTTTACTCATTGAATACATTTTAACCTAACTCTATCTTGTACGCTCTTCGAGCTTTCGTATTCTCAGAAATACCTTGTAACCCTAATTCTTGTTTGATCAATATAAAGTCGATATTTGCTTATTCTTGAGTGCTTGAGGAAATCTTACCTACTTCTTCCTCATCCCTAAACTACTATCAAATTTCTAAGTGTAAGTTTTACGTCCCACATTTTGGCGCCCACCGTGGGAAAGAAAAAAGATTTCTCTAACAATATAGCCGGATCTAAGGCTCGTTAGAACGCAAATGGATTCGTCCAGCCAAAACGCTACTCTTGTCAATGGCCAAGGATCTAACTCTTCTGGCCAGACAGAAACGAACCAATCAGCTACGAACGGATCAGCTCCGAGACTGCAACGTTCCAGATCTGCATCAGATCTGGGCAATATCGGAACTGCTGCGCCTGCAGCTCGTCCGGCCGTGGGTGCCACAAACCCGAACACTGAAACTCCGGTTGGAGGGAACCCATATATCTGGGTACGTCCCGAGATACGACCTCCAGGGCCAATCCACTCGAATTGGGCTCAACAAACCCAAGCGGCTGCTGGTCAGGGATCTATCCCAGATCGAACCGCCGAACTGCAAAGAACATTAGAACTCCTGGTTGAAAGATCTCGAAACCAGGAAGCAAGTTTCCAAACCCTGATGGAAAGAACTCTAAATCAGGAAACGACTTTCCAGACCTTGATAGAAAGAACTCTTCAGGAAACAAATTTCCAAGCCCAGTTCGCGAGAATTCGAGAACAGCTCGAAGGGGGCCCTGCCCTAAACGATCCTCGTACCGCGAATTGCGGGCGACAAAACGGACCTGAAACGAGTTCGTTGCGTCAGACGCATCTCAACTTCTCGCCTTCCTCCGTAACCCCGGAAACGGGGAACCAGTACCAAACGCCCCAAGGTGCAGGACTTCACCTCGGTGGATCGCATCAACGCGCCCCGATCCTTAACGGATCAAGCTCTCAGGGAGCGTCTGTTCGAGAAAATGAACAGCTCCCGCCTCCGATTATTTTCGGATCGAATCAAGCGCCACCTCCGACCACGTTCGGATCGAATGAAACGCCAGCTACAGTTGCGCCGATATCTAACGGCGCGCCAGCCTCACTGTCGTCGAGTATCGAGCAGAAGCTCGATGACATCGACCAACGGAATATCGAAAGGAACGCTCTGACTTTCGAACACATGAAATCGTACGTGCACGCAGCGACAAGCTCTGCACCCAACATTGACTTGGTAATCAGAGAAACCCGCCGCACTCCCTTTACCAAGAAAATAGGTCACGTCAGACTAAGCGATGCTGGAAAGATAAAATTCCCCGAATACTCCGGGAATAGCGATCCTCGAGCACACGTTCGATCCTTTATGTTAGCAATAACTAAAGCGCATCTCACAGCCGAGGAAGAAGAAGCGGGTCACTGCAAATTCTTCGTGGAAAACCTCACCGGCTCGGCACTAGAATGGTTCTCGAGTCTCAAACGCGGATCCATAGATAATTTTACCCAGCTCGTCTCCGTATTTCTTAAACAATATTCAGTATTCATCGAGACTCGAGCTACAGAAGCCGACCTATGGACCCTAACGCAAGGTCAAGGCGAACCACTTCGCAGTAACATAGACCGCTTTAAGCAAATTAAAGCACAGATTCCCAACCTTAACGAAACCGTAGCTCTTTGAGCTAACGTACGGACTATGGTTCTCTTCTAAGTTTAAGAAAGAATTACAGCTCATTCATAATTCGGGCCTGGACGATGCTCTGCATAAAGCCAATGCCTTTGCACGAGCAGACGAAAAATATGAAATATTCGAGGGGAAATTCAATGCTGGCCTACAAGGCTCGGGATCGAACCCCCAGAAAAAAGCGCCAAAGAGAGAACCTCAAGGCAAAAACATACATGTTGTAGCTAACAATGGCCAACAAGAAATTCTGCAAATATCATAAACGTTACGGACATTCAACAGAAGAATGCCAAAACCCATATTACGTTCCTAAGCCAAGAAGGAACGACGAAAATAACCAGGAGCCTTCACAAGAAGAAGATGTCGATGAACACTACCGACAACTCCTAACGCTAAAAAACCTCCTCCTAAAAACAAGCAAAAAAGAAATTGAGACGCGGACGAGGAAGACACTCCCGCTCCCCGCGCTTAAGCAACAGATCGATATGATTTTCAGAGAATTTGAACACTGCGGTGGCTCGATGAAATCATTTGACACCCCCCCCCACCTGCACCCAAAAAAGACTCTATGCCTACGCCTCAGGGAGCTAAGACGTTGCAAGGGGGGTGTAGAGGCATATGCCCCCAAAAGAATAAACTTTATATCGGGCGGCTCAGAGTTCTGCCGAAATTCCGTAAACTCCACCAAGGCCTTTCAACGAAAAGCCAGCTCCAGCTCGAATAACCTCCGGACTCTGAACGAACCGGACACCGAAATCGCTTTCCTTGAAAGCGAAACGCTGAACTTAGACAAACCACACGACGACGCGCTCGTAGTCTAGCTCGACGTAGCGGGATTCGAGCTGTCTAGAATAATGATCGACACTGGAAGCTCAGTCGATCTCCTGTTCTATGATGCATTTAGAAGGATGGGATTCACGTAATCTGATCTAACTGACAGAAAAATCCCACTCACCGGCTTTGCCAGAGAAACGACTTACTCGCTCGGAACCATCCTAGTCATGGTAAAAAAGAAAAATGGGAAGTGGAGGATATGCATAGACTTCACCGACCTGAACAAAGCTTTGTCATCGAGCTGACGGCTCAGGCTCCCGATAGTAACAGTCAGGATGAAACATGGAAACTCCATGTAGATGGATCCTCCTCGAAACAAGGCTCCGGAGTGGGCATAAGAATAGCCTCACCCACCGGTCCTTCAGACTCGGCTTTGCCGCTCCGAACAATGAAGCTGAATATGAAGCCTTGATCGCCGGGCTCAGGCTCGCGATAGGGATAGAAGCTCGAAAGCTCCACGCTTATAGCGATTCGCAACTCGTGACAAGCCAATATCATGGAGAGTACGAAACAAAACCCGAAAGGATGAAAGCCTACCTAAAAGTAGTACGCGAGCTGACGGAACAGTTCGATCATTTCGAACTAACCAGAATTCTCTGAGGGGAGAATTCCGCATCCGACGCTTTGGCGGCCCTGGCTTCCACTTCCGATCCACTACGGATGCTGTGCGCGGGACGATGCGGTATGTTCGTTCCTCAATCGGCCGGTGTGCGCGGTTTACGACGCGAATGCTCGATAAAGCCGTCTGGACCAGTCTTCACTAATTTGATTATAACTTCATTTCTACTCATCGAAATGATGTCAAACCACTTGCGTTGGAAAGTTAACTCACTCAGAGCACGCGGGGAAGTGGCCTCGATGATATCCATTGAGTAGATCTTTTTCTGGGCCTTCTCAAAGTTGATGCTTTGGTATGGAGCGGCTTGAAGCGCCAATCCTATGGTTTTGCTCCAAAATGCATCATTTCACATGTTTAGACTCTAAGTACTTTAAATCCAATAAAACTACCTTTTTTGATAGAAAACCTGCCAAAAACCATTAGAAAACCATACTAAAATAGTATAAAAATCATGTAAAATAGAGGTATATCAACTCCCTGATGATAGGATTTTTGTGTGTGATGTGATGATAGTATGAAATGAAATGAGGTGGAATGCAACAGTGGTATATGAAGATGAGGTGGTATGATGCAAACACAATCACAATCAATCAATTCCCTTAACCATCATAGTCATTAAGTATAAGGGTATCAATCCAAAAGGGTGAAACTTGTTACTCTATGAGAATATGCAAACACAAGAAAGTCAAGCAAAGTAAAGAGGGGTAACACTAACAACCTAATGAAATGAAATGCAATGCAATAATAAAGTAAAGAAAGCAGTAAAGCAAGCAGCTCGACCAAGGACTCGAGTCGAGTGGGAACAGAGTAACCAAGCTCGATCGAGTTGAGGGTCGAGTTGAGTAAAAAGCGATAAAGGCAGGAACTTTAACAAGCTAATGCAAATTAGGGTCTAAGACAGGGTTTACAATCAGAGGAAGCTATACTTAATCAATCTTGCTCTTCAAACAACTTGTATCAAGGTATCTCTTGATATTGAGCTTCTCAATGCCTAGCTAACCCTTTCCCAAGGTGAAAGCTATCAACCAAGGAATGATCTCAGAAACAGGGGGTTAGCCAGTGAGAATCAAGCCTTGGAGGCCATAGGATCATTGCTCAAACTAATCCATCCAACCCCTATGAACTCCATTTCGAGAGCAAGAGTTATTGGAGCTCTTAGTGGACCTTTTCCAAGCGATTTCCATCACTTCCATGTGGAGAATCGCCTATGGACATACAAGCCAGGGGTAGTGGTCATGTAGCCTTAAGGATTGTCCAAAAGAGAGAGATTTCTAGATTAAGAACATAAGCAAGAAGGATTAAGCATAAAATCCCTCTAATCTAGCCCATCTCAAACCCTAATGGGTAACTACTCACTACACATGAATGTAAACACAAGCAAATGCAATGAAAAGACATAAATGAAAGAGGAGATGAAATAAACAACTTTTATTGAAATAAGCAAGTGCAAATAAATAAAATCTAGGATTCAAGAGCAAGAGCTCAAGAACACAAAGAGAGGATTAGGTTGCTAAAAAGTAAAAGACAATAATTAAAGAAAAGCTAAAAAAAAATAAGCTAAAGCTTGTTGTTTTTTCGTGGCTTAGAGCCTTTAAATACAAGAGGATTAGGTTTAGGGTCAAAGGAAGTCAAGGGGGAAGCAACATTTTTCGGGTTTGACTGTTGACTTCTCAGCTCGATCGAGTTGAAGCTTGGCCGGTCGAGTTGAGGAACTCGACCGGTGGTCGAGCTGGTCTTCAAGATGGCTTCCTCCTTCTTCCTTTGCGTGTCCAGTTGAGCTGCGTCCATGCACCAAGTCCTTCCTTGCTCCTCACGTCCCATATGCTCCAAATGCTCCAAAAGACCTATTTCAAAGGACCAAACATGCATATGTATGCAAATGCAACCTAAAACTACTATGAATGCATAAGAAGAGAAAAGGAACAAGATATGATGCTAATGGATGCTAAAACTATGCAAAAGATGCATAAAAGATGTACTAAAACTATGTAAAATGCAAGTACATCAACACCCCCAAACTTGACTTTGCTTGCCCTCAAGCAAACAAATAGAACAAGAAAGAGATGAGGTTTGAAAACAAGTTGATTCAACACTTAAAAACATGTCCTCAAAAGCGATTTGCTAAATGTCCAACTTAGAGATTCTAGAATGCAACAAGGTGAGAGATATTCATTAAGATTTAACCATGCTTATCAACATCAATCCCACTTCACAGTCACTCAAACAATGCATTCAAATCAGCAAATCCCTTTAACATTCATTAAGCAAAAACAGTGAACCAAAAACATGCAAGATCAATCAACTCATTTGGTTTCAAGGGTTTATGGGTTAAGAGACAAAGAGGGTCTCTTTTGTATGGTGGTTTAGTAACAGGGATCTCTCAAGAAAGTGGCTTTGCTTTGGCAGAAGGCTAAGTGTTAGAACCAAAGATGATGCAAGAACAGCAGCTCGAGCCGCCTAATCCTAACTCGATCGAGTTCAACACTTAGAGCTTTTTAGAACAAAATCCTAACTACCCTTTTTGGCATTTCGCCTTTGAAACTGAGGAGCTTTGCTCACTTTTCTTTTAAGAACATCCTAGGGAGAGGCTTCTTGAGGTAACATCTAGCGGTTTGGGATTTTCTAAACACTTAGGGAACTTTTCTTTCTTTTTGACACTTGAGGCTTTGCCTTCTTTTCTTTCTACTTAGAACCCTTTTTACTTTCCTTTTTTAACTTCCCAAACCTTTACTAGACCCTTTTTAACACTGCCAACTCCCTGGACTTAACTAAACTCTTTTTCTTTGGTTTTCCCAACTTTTACCACTTTTCTGGTTTTGACACCCAACTCGATCGAGCTCGAGTTGGCACCCCCAAACTTAGCCTGAAAACAATCCCAAGAGAACTAGACAACTAAACGGTTTACAACACTTATGCTTTACAAGAGATAATATGGGGTTTGAAATGAAAAGGCTTAGGTTTAAGGTGTGGTAACTGTCTCAAAGATGGAGATCAGCTATCTGGACAAGCAAGAGGGATATGAAATGGTAAAGAATGTCCAGATATGTATGTGGTAGCCATGAGTTGAAATCAAATGCAAGCATTGGTAATTAAAGATCAAGTTATGGTTCAAATAGATAGGGAAATGCATCAAATCACAGCAATGGTTGAATGAGATGTGCATGCAGTGATATGATCAAGATAAACATGGTTCTTGTTGCTCAATCAATCTCACCCTAATGCACAAAAGAATCTAAAAACAGGGCACTCAAGAAATCGCAAATGATGAACAAGTTTTCAAAGTCAAATCAACAATGCAACTGAAAATGATGCAATCCTAAACAATTCTAACAAATATGAATGCAAAAAGATGAAAATATTTTTGGTTTTTCTATGCAAAATAAATGAAAAACTAAGAACAAAGAAAACAAGGTTAAATCATCTCTTGAACCCTCCCCCAAACTTAAATCACACAGTCCCTTGTGTGAGAAGAAATTTAGTGAAAGATTCAAGAGGGCAAAACCAAGAGAAAAAAAAGAAATGCAAGAAAATATGAAATGGTATGTACAAGGGTTGTGTTTGGATACCTCAGTGCCCCCAAAGAACTGGGAGGCAAGGTCGTGGTCTGGAGAGGGCAGCGGCCATCAGGAGCACTCCACTCGACCGGTCCATGCGCTCGATCGAGCTTGCGGCTCCTCTTCTTCTTCCTCAAAGTGTGTGGCTCCTTGGCCTTGGTGGAGCTTGGCTTGCTCGAACTGCCGTATGGGTTCCAGTTGCTCTGTGGGTAGTCCTGGTAAGGTGCCTGATCGTACTCAAATCCAGGGTTCTCGAATTCTGACCCCTCAGGTCAACTCGACCATCAGCTCGACCGAGTTGAGTTTCCTCTGTTTGGACTCGATCGAGTCCATTGGTCGAGTTGGAGCGTCGGCCTTGGAACTCTTCCTCCTTCTCTGCGTGTTGTCTCCTTCTTCCCTTGGTTCGAATGAGAGGCTCTGTGAGGCTCTTGGGCAGGGAGCCTCCTTGGAGTGGTGAGAAGAGATCTACTCCTAGGGAATGTAGGAGCCATGGGTGTCTTCTTCTTCTTGGATGAAGAACCAGAGACCTTCTTCTCCAAATTCTTGATCTTGCTCACCATCTTGTCCATGGACTTTTGCATTTTCTCCATGGCTTTCCCTTGCCACTTGTTGAACTTTTGGAGAAGTCCAATCCTCTTGTGAGCAGCCACAACAGAGGGGTTCATCCTTGGAGCCTCATACTCCTCAAAGTAGTAGCACTCAGGCTCACCCAAATCCGCATCACTTGGGCGTGGTTCTCAACTCGATCCGCAGCTCGATCCTCAGCTCGATCGAGTTCAGGCTCCTCTTCTCGCAAATCATCTTCATGCCCAACTAAAGGCTCTTAGCCACGAAAAAACCACCAAGCTTTAGATTACTTTTGTTTTAGCTTCTTTTAATTATTGTCTTTTACTTTTTAGAGCTCTAATCCATCTTTGTGTTCTTGAAGCTCTTGCTTCTTGAATCCTAGATCCTGGATTATCTCTTTTGTATTTGCACTTGCTTATTTCAATAAAAGTTGTTTATCTTTATCTCCTCTTTCATTTGATGTCATTTCATTGCATTTGCTTGTGTTTACATTCATGTGTAGTGAGTAGTTACCCATTAGGGTTTGAGATGGGCTAGATTAGGGGATCTTTATGCTTAATCCTTCTTGCTTATGTTCTTAATCTAGAAATCTCTCTCTTTTGGCAAACCTTAAGGCTACATGACCACTACCCCTGGCTTGTATGTCCATAGGCGATTCTCCACATGGAAGTGATGGAAATCGTTGGAAAAGGTCCACTAAGAGCTCCAATAACTCTTGCTCTCGAAATGGAGTTCATAGGGGTTGGATGGATTAGTTTGAGCAATGATCCTATGGCCTCCAAGGCTTGATTCTCACTGGCTAACCCCCTGTTTCTGAGATCAAGTCTTGGTTGATAGCTTTCACCTTGGGAAAGGGTTAGCTAGGCATTGAGAAGCTCAATATCAAGAGATACCTTGATACAAGTTGTTTGAGAGCAAGATTGATTAAGTATAGCTTCCTCTGATTGTAAACCCTGTCTTAGACCCTAATTCTCGCATTAGCTTGTTAAAGTCGCTGCCTTTATCGCTTTTTACTTCAACTCGACCCTAAACTCGATCGAGCTCGGTTACTCTGTTCCCACTCGACTCGAGTCCTTGGTCGAGCTGTTGCTCTACTGCTTTATTTACTTACTGCATTGCATTTCTTTCATTAGGTTGTTAGTGTTACCCCATATCATTTACTGCTTGCTTGACTTCCTTGTTATTTCATATTCTCATAGAGTGACAACTTCACCCATTTTGGATTGATACCCTTTATGCTATAACGACTATGATGGTTAAAGGGAATTGTTGACTGTGTTTGTGTTTGCATCTTACCACCTCATCATATACCACTGTTGCATTCCACCACATCTCATTTCATATCTTTCACACCCACACACAAATCCTATCATCATCCATCCAGCTGGAGTTGCCTTCTTCTTGTTTAGCTGCAAACCAGCTGCACAGAGGATAGGTGTGATGATCCCTCCAACACTTAGCCTCCTTCCTGTTTGATGGTGATCGCGGGATCAGGTCTTCCCTTTTCCTATCATGTGATCGATTGATATACCTCTATTTTACATGCTTTTTATACTGTTTTAGTATTGTTTTCTAATGGTTTTTGGCAGGTTTTCTATCTAAAAAGGTAGTTTTACTGTGTTTATAGTGTCTAGAGTCTAAACAGGTGAAATGATGCATTTTGGAGCAAAACCATAGGATTTGCACTTCAAGCCGCTCCATGCACAAGCATCAACTTTAAGAGGGCCCAGAAAAAGATCTACTCAATGGATTTCATCAAGACCAGTTCCCTGCGTGCTCTGATTGAGTTAACTTTCCAACGCAACTGGAATGGCCTCATTTGGATGAGTAGAAAAGGAGTTACAACCAAAAGAGTGAAGACTGTCCAGACGGCTCTATCGAGAACAGCGCCCAAACCGCGCAGTCCGGCTGGCCGAGGAACGAACGTTTCACGCTCGGCCAAATCTCATCCGTCCGTCTGAAGTCTCGGCCAAAGTCCAAAACCGGGAAACTAAGACCCGCGGTCGGCCACGCCACAACCGCTCACACCAATGCCGCGCACGACCATGCCGCGCGAGCCGGGAAACAAAGCCTCGCGGCCGCGCAACCTGTCTCGCGTACCACGGCCGATGGCGCCGTCCGAGCCGGGAACTACGTCCCGCGTCCGGCCGAGAATTCATCGGCCAATCTTCATCCGTCCGACCACAGCGGCCGACCACAATCCGTCCGGCCACGACCGTTCCGATCGTACTAGGAGCGGCCATGACCCGATCATCCGGCAACCCGAAGCCCGTTTTCTCATATTTTAGCCCGGCTTAACCCTAAGCCGCCTCTAAAGACCTAGCACTATATATATAGCTTTTTAGCCTCTGTGAAAAGAGAGCCGCCCTTGTATCGATTTCCTACTCTAAGTTTTATTGCAATCATGTTTTCTTCATCTCTATGTGTGTTTGCTTTGATCATGTCTGAGTAATCCACTAGTTAGGTTGCTAGGGTTACTATTCAATGAGTTGCTTGCATGATCTTTGATTTCGATGATTAGCTAGGGATTATATAGAGTCTTTGTCTCGTCTTGTGCACTTAACTAATGCTGATTGCTTTACCGCGCATCTAGTAATCCGATCTTAGGTTGATTTGAGCCTCGACAGTGTTGTATCATTCGCCGGACATATTCTTTGGCAAGCTAGGTTTCTTAGACTGCGAAAGTTGATCTACTATAATCTAGTGAACTGTATCAGAACCTATTCATTCTAAAGCTTGATTTAATCACCTAGGGACATACCAAAAGTTTAGCGACTAGGTAGATTAACAAAGGAGCCGGAGCCTCGAAAGTGGAATGGTTTTATATTCGTGATCTGTGTTCTAGACGGTTCTTAATATCCCAACATCCCTAATCAATTCATCTATCATTGTTTCATTGATCATTGCTTGCTTCTCTGCGATTAGCCCCTGTTGACCTAGCGTTTCCCCTTTATTGTTTACAACCTCGTTATACTTGCTAGTTCGGTTCACCATTACAACCTCAATCATACTTTTGTTTTAGCTTGATCCAAAATCCATAGTTTCAAAGTGTACTCAATAGCCAGTCCTTGTGTTCGATACCCATACTTCCGCGATCTGTGCACTTGCAGAGGTCTAGGAGTTTGGTAAAACCTGACTCCACATCATCGATCATCAAGCATACATGAATGCCATCCTTTGACTTCCTATCACTTAACAAGTAAACTACTCAGACATAGAGAAGGAACACGAATTCATATTCATAAGAACAGAGATTCGAATCCTCTCTAGAAAGAGAACAAGCAAGAACAAAGTAAAAGCAAGCAAAACTTTATTAAAGATGTAAAATAGTTGTGGTCTCTCTCCCTTTTTTTTGTTACAAGGCTAAAAAGAAGTATTTATAATGCACTAAGTATGAAAAAGCGGCTAGACCTAATCTTGATAAGTCGGCGCCGGCATTGGGCTTGAATTGTGCAAATCGGGCTTCAAAAACGGCTTTGGGTCGACCGCGGCGTTCGGACAGTCGGTCGGGACGATCGGCCGGATTATCGGGTCATGGTCGCTATCGGCACGATCGGAACGGTCGTGGCCGATAGGTTTCGTGGTCGGCCGGATGAAGGGCTTGGCCGATGTTTCTTGGTCGAGCGTAGGGCGCGGCTTTCCTGATCGGACGGCGCGATCGGCCATGGTACGTGAGACAAGCCGCACGGCCACGAGGCGTTGCTTCCCGGCAGCATGATCGTGCGCGGCATCGTCTTGAATGATCGTGACTTGGCCGACCGCGGGACATTGCTTCCCGGGTCGGTACGTGTGCTCGGACGAGGCTTGGACGGATGGTTTGGACTTTGGCCGACCGCGAAACATTCGTTCTTCGGCCGGCCGTTCTGCACGGCTTGGCCGCCATTTCTCGATAGAGCCGCTCGGACCAGTCTTCGCTATTTTGGCTATAACTCCTTTTATATTCATCCAAATGAGGCCGTTCCACTTGCGTTGGAAAGTTAACTCAATTAGTGCACGCAGAGAAGTGGTCTTCATGAAATCCATTGAGTAGATCGTTTTTTAGCTCCCTCCAAAGTTGATGCAGTGGCATTGGACTGGTTTGAAGGCCAAATCCTCTGTTTTGCTCCATAATGCACCTTTTTACCTAAAATGACTATTTGCAATATAAATCCATAAAAACTACCTTTTAACATAATAATACACTAGAAAACCATAGTAAAATAGAATAAAAAGCATGTAAAATAGAGGTATATCAACTCCCCCAGACTTAGATCTTTGCTTGTCCCCAAGCAAACAGAATCTAAACTAGTGAAGAGGTTTTGAAAACGTGGGAACTCCCTTGCTTCTTTGAAAATCCTGTGAAAGGTTCCTTTCCTGTATTCCAATAAGAACATAGGCAACATAAGGTTAGCTTCACATACACCCTGCAAGTTTAGCGAACAATACCGACTCAACTAGTCTCATCCAGCTGATATACCTCTAATTTACCCACTTTTTATACTGTTTTAGCATTGTTTTTTTTGCAGGTTTTCTATCTAAAAAGGTAGTTTCACTGTGTTTATAGTGTCTAGAGTCTAAACAGGTGAAATGATGCATTTTGGAGCAAAACCATAGGATTTGCACTTCAAGCCGCTCCATGCACAAGCACCAACTTTAAGAGGGCCCAGAAAAAGATCTACTCAATGGATTTCATCAAGACCAGTTCCCCGCGTGCTCTGATTGAGTTAACTTTCCAACGCGCTGGCCGAGCAGCACGAAGATCCGCCGGATCCGAACGCCGCGCACAATCGCGCCAATGATGGAGCGCGACATAATGAAGAAGTCATGGGAGACTTCGATTCCAATCCAACACTACTAATAGATCGGAATCCCATCCAGCCGCCACTTCCTGAAGGAAGAAGCTATGAGATTTCACCGGAGATTATTGGTTTGGTGAAACAAAACCAGTTCCAAGGGAAACCCCAAGAGAATCCTTTGGAACATATTGATGCTTTTGAAGAAATTTGTGGCACCATCAGTGCAGGAGGTGCACCCAAGGAGTACTTAAAGTGCAAACTATTCTCTTTCACTTTGACAGGGAAGGCTTTGCGCTGGGTTAAGTCTCTTCCAGCTCAATCCATAACCACATGGAAAGAGTACAAGGTGGCATTCCTAGGTCACTTTTTCACAAAGCAGAGAGCAAACTTGTTGAGAGAAAAGATCTCTAGTTTCCAACAAGGGCCGGTGGAGCCTTTTCATGAAGCATTGGAGCGCTTCAAGGACTATACAAGAGAGTGTCCTAACCATGGGCTATCTGAGGGCAGTCTATGGAACATTTTCTACAGAGGAATAAGTGGGAAGTGTAGATTTTCTCTTGATACAGCCAGCAATGGAAATTTCATGACCAAGACAGTTACTGAAGCAAAGATTTTGATTGAAAATCTAGCCTCAAGCGACAGTGACAACTTCATTGGCATGAGAGAGCAGTGAAGGCCATAAATTCTGATCCATACAGAGATGGATACAGCGAAATCAAAGCCATGATGGCTGAGATACTGAGAAACCAAGGAAGAGAAGTGGAGAGACAAAGAGAAGCTTATAGAGTTGAGTCCACAATAATTCAAGATTACTTTGGAGATTTGATTCCAAGTTTCAAGAAGAAGTAAACTTTGTTGGAATAGATGGATCAGCACATAGAGAAGAAGCTTGGAAAGGGAGAGCATGATGTTTTTACTCAAGAATCACCCAATGAGAAGAGGGATGTTCATGGAGGAAGAAATTATCAGCAACCACCTCACAAGAGAAGAATGGAGCCAAGGAGCAACTTTGAAGATTTGATAACTTTCATCAAGAGTTCTCATAGAGAGCATACAGCCTTGATTGATGAGAGATTGGAGTCAGCCTTCACTAGATTGAATGAGAAGTTGGATTCTATTTCTTCTTTCACAAGAGACTTGGATCTTAGAGTTGCCAACATAGCCAGCTCTATTAAGAGAGAAGAAGGTGCTACCAGGAAAAGTGGAAATCAATCCAAGGAGAGCAGCTGTAGCAGCTATCACTCTTAGGAATGGAAAAGGGTATGAGCCACCAGCATACCCAGATCAAGAGGAAGCAAAGCCGCCAGTCAAGAAGAAACCAATGGAGTATGTCATCATTGGAGATGGACTGAACCACCTAAGGAAGTCCATGTCAGAATAGAACCAGGAACTCAGGAGGAAGTGGAGAAGCCACCTGAAGAACCAAGAGTGTATGAGCCAAAGATCCCATACAGAAATGTTCTTTCTCAACCCAAGAAGGAGAAGGAGCAAGCAAAGCTCAAGGATCTTGTTAGCCAACTTTCAGTAAGGTTGCCTTTCATTGATGCCTGCCAAATAATTCCATCTCTCAGGAAGTATATGAAGGCCATACTCACAAGCAATGTGAGTCTTGAAGAAGGAGCAATGATGATTACAAAGGAGTGTAGTGCCATACTTCAGAATCGCATGCCAGAGAAGCTGAACGACCCAGGAGTTTTGTTTTGTCTTGCAAGATCGGTTCTACACACTTCCATAGAGCACTTTGTGATTTGGGTTCTAGTGTGAACCTAATGCCTTACTCAGTGGCCAAGCTATTGGGCATCACTGACTTCAAACCTACAAAGATCTCTCTAGTCTTTGCAGACAGATCTGTTCGCCGCCCTGTTGGTGTTATTATGGATGTTCCAATCATGGTTGGAGATTGCTACATCCCTGCTGATTTTGTAGTTCTTGAGCTGGAACACCAACCTAAAGACCCTCTTATCTTGGGAAGGCCATTCCTAGCTACTGCAGGAGCTATAATAGATGTCAAGAATGGAAAGATTGACTTGCATCTTGGAGATATAGTGATGAATTTCGAAGTAAACAAGTCTATGGAGAAACCAACTGTAGATGGTCAAGCTTTTTGGATTGGAGAGCTCGCAGAGACAAGAGAAGAAGTGCTGGATGAACTCCTTCTTATTGATCCCTTGGAGCTAGCTTTGACAAAGCTGAGAATGAGTATGGATACATGGAAAGAGAAGCTCAATGCTTAGTCAAGTTCATGGATTCAAGGAAGCTTATAAAGAGCTGATAGCTTATATGGACTTAGAGAGAGAAGAGGAAGAGCCAGACATTGACAAGATCAGGAAATATCACAAACCAAAGTTAAGTTCGACCCATGGTGCCCACTTAGAGCTCCAAAAGCCGAGCTCAAACAACTCCCAGTTGGTCTAAGGTATGAATATCTTGGTCCTAATGAAACATATCCTGTTATTGTTAATGCTGCACTAACAAAAGAAGAGACCGCTTTACTTGTTCGCGAACTGAGAAAGCATAGAAAGGCTCTTGGTTATTCTTTGGATGATTTAACAGGAATCTCACCTGAACTATGCACACATCGCATCATCCTGGAGGATGAGTCTAGTTCTTCAATTGAACACCAAAGGAGGCTAAACCCAACCTAAAGGAAGTTGTCAAGAAGGAGATAATGAAGCTATTGAAAGCTGGAGTGATTTATCCAATATCAGATAGTGCATGGGTCAGCCCTGTACATGTCGTGCCAAAGAAAGGAGGGATCACAGTCATCAAGAATGAACATGATGAGCTCATTCCAACAAGAACAATCACTGGACACAGAATGTGTGTCGACTACAGGAAACTGAACTCCTCTACACGCAAGGACCACTACCCCTTGCCATTCATAGATCAGATGCTTGAGCGCCTTGCCAATCATCAATACTACTGTTTCTTGGATGGATACTCAGGATTTTTCCAAATTCCAATCCACCCAGATGATCAGGAGAAGACTACATTCACTTGTCCCTATGGCACATATGCTTATAGGAGAATGCCTTTTGGATTGTGCAATGCTCCAGCTACATTCCAAAGGTGTATGATGTCCATATTCACAGATCTCATAGAAGAGATTATGGAGGTTTTCATGGATGATTTCTCAGTATATGGTTCTTCCTTTGAATCATGTTTGGGGAATCTTGGAAGAGTGCTACAGAGATGTGAAGACAAGCACCTAGTTCTAAATTGGGAGAAGTGCCATAGTTAGAGATGGGAGTTGATATACCTCTAATTTACCCACTTTTTATACTGTTTTAGCATTGTTTTCTAATGGTTTTTGGCAGGTTTTCTATCTAAAAAGGTAGTTTTACTGTGTTTATAGTGTCTAGAGTCTAAACAGGTGAAATGATGCATTTTGGAGCAAAACCATAGGATTTGCACTTCAAGCAGCTCCATGCACAAGCACCAACTTTAAGAGGGCCCAGAAAAAGATCTACTCAATGGATTTCATCAAGACCAGTTCCCTGCGTGCTCTGATTGAGTTAACTTTCCAACGCAACTGGAATGGCCTAATTTGGATGAGTAGAAAAGGAGTTATACCAAAAGAGTGGAGACTGTCCAGACGGCTCTATCGAGAGAACAGCGCCCAACCGCGCAGTCCGGCTGGCCGAGGAACGCATGTTCCGCGCTCGGCCAAAACTGTGTCCGTCCGTCTGAAGTCTCGGCCAAAGTCCAAAACCACTCGGCCGATCACGCATCACGACCCGGGAAACTCAAGCCCGCGGTCGGCCACGCCACAACCGCCACGCCACGCCGCGCACGACCAAAGCGCGCGAGCCGGGAAGTAACGCCTCGCGGCCGCGCAACTCGCCACGTACCGCGCACGAACTCCGTCCGACCCGGGGAGTAACGCCTCGCGTCCGGCCGAGATTTCATCGGCCAAACATTATCCGCTCGACCACGCCGACCGACCGTGAACCGTTCCGACCCCGACCGACTGTCCGGCCGATCGTCCCGACCGACCGTCCCAACGCCGCGGTCGACCCGAAGCCCGTTTTGAAGCCCAAATTTATTTTCAAGCCCGGCTTAACCCTAAGCCGCCTCAAAAGACCTAGCACTATATATATAGCTTTTTAGCCTCTTGTGAAAAGAGAGCCGCCTTGTATTACGATTTCATACTTTGAGTTTTATTGCAATCATGTTTTCTTCATCTCTTTGTGTTTTGCTTTGATTATGTCTGAGTAATTCACTAGTTAGGTTGTGAGATCTATCAAAGAGTTCATGGTTTGATAGGTTGTTAGAAGTCACTAGGGTTTATATTCGCATCTTCGCCTCTGCTTGAATTCATTGCTGCTTGCTTTTCTGATCAACTAGCATCAGATCTTAGGTTTCATATACTCTCCAAAAGCTTGCTATATAACCTGAACTAAGTATTTGGTGAGCAAAACTTCATAGACTGCGAAAGTTGATCTATGCGGGGTTGTGAACAATTGGGTCTTGAACGAACTATTGCTTGATTTAATCACCTAGGGACATACCAAAAGTTTAGCGACTAGGTAGATTAACAAAGGGGTCGGAGCCTCGACAGTGGAAAGATCATACAATCGTGACCTGAGTTCTAGATAGCGCAAACCCTAGCGAAACCTTCTAATATCTTGTTAACCTTGAATCTCTGCGAGTTTCTCATTGCCTAGCGTTTCCCTCTATTGATTTTCATAAACCGTTTAATCTGCTGTTTGATTTACCTTGTTACACAATCGAAAACCCTAAATCATACTTGTTTTCTAGCTATATTAGACTTGCAATACTCGAAGTGTACTTATCTGCTCCTTGTGTTCGATACCCGTTTACTACTTTGACCTGTGCACTTGCAGAATCAGGGATAGGAAAAGGGAAGACCTGATCCCGCGATCACCAGCAATCCAAACTCTCTATTGTTAACCTCTTGCATAAAATTTAAAGCGTGAGTTCTTTATCAAGGGAAATCGATCAATTGAACTTGTTCTTACCCACTTGATCTTCTCCAAGATTGTCTTTGAAGTGCAATGAGTTTTTTCCTCTCTCTTTCTCACATCAGAACTTTGAAAGGTCAATTTCTCCCTACTTTTCTAGGGTATCATTTTATTTTTTCTATTGACCTTTCTTTCAACCACAGGATAAGTCTTTAGCTTGTTCCTTGTTTGATAAGGTATTCCATAAGACATGAAGGTACAGACATATGCATTCCTCATGCTTACTTGTTTTCCTTGTGCTCTTTGAGCTTTTCTCATAAACATTACTTACCATTTGGGATGGGAGAGAGAGGAGAACTCTTTAGACAAATCTCATTGAAAATCAAGCAAGGAACTGTCGACATGTATGCCAATCCCCTTGACAAGAGTTATTAAGATTGATTAAGGGTGAGGTTAACTCTAGATTGCTTGGTTACCTTAGAAATTTCGCTGAGCTAGCATGTCGATCCACTGTAGGAGCTTCTGTTAGGCTTGTGCCTTCAGCTGATGTTTGCTCTAGGGTCATAGATTGTTAGCATAACACTATCAAATCTCAAAGCAAGTTCATGTTCCGGACTGGTTTTGACTCAATAAAACAGAAGTTTTGAAAAAGTGGGTAAGGAAAAACCAATTATAAGATCAAAACAACCATGAACAAACACATTAGTACCGACAATCCCCCCAGACTTAACTTGCACCGTCCCGGTGAAAGAAAATCCAATTAAGGGAGTTAAAGAAAGAGGTAATAAAGTGGTTGTGAATGTAAAAAGAAAGATGTAACCTGATTTGTGTTACTTGAAGAATGGTGTATGCAGTGGAATGATGGTAGAGTATGGAATGCAAGTGTGGTGAGGTGGGATGGGTGAGATGCAGATGGAATGAGATGGGATGGTGTGTTGGGCGCTTGAGAGGACATGGGCGAGCGTGGAGAGGTTCTGCTCGGCCATCAAGTCGCGCCAACTATGAACATTCTTCTTGTGGTATATCTTCTTTACCATTGTGTGGTTCTTAGATTCCTGTATCCAAAACTCAAAACAAAACTAGACATTAACTAAAACTAATTGAAAAGAAAAGTAAGAAAAACACCTTTCATGGGTTGCCTCCCATGCAGCGCTTTTTTGAGTCATTAGCTTGACTGATAGGATCTCTTAGTTGGAGATGGGGTAAGGGCACGGCCTGAGACATAGTCTTTTAGTTCTTGTCTCATTGTGACCTTGAGTGTGGTCTGGTGGTTCTCTTGGGCGGCCTTGGGCAGTGATGAGGTAAGACAGCTTGTTTGGTGAGATGAATGGTATGGTCTTGTAAAAGACTGTCTTGTCAACATTGGCTAAGGACATTCGCCTGTTTGGAAGGTCCATGACAGCTCCAGCAGTGGCCAAAAAGGGTCGGCCTAGTATCAATGGTGTGTCACATCCTCCTTTGATGTTCATGACATGAAATCCACCGGGATCTTGATATCTCCAATCTCTAGAAGAACATCAAACAACTCCTCTTGGCTTGGCTATAGTATGGTTAGCAAGTCCAATACTAATTTGAGCAGGTTGCAAGCGTGTGATGCCAAGGAGTTTGGCGGTTTGGGTTGGCATGAGGTTTATGCAAGAGCCAGAATCGCATAGTGTTCTATCAAAGTAATGACCATTTACTTGACAGGGAATAGAGAATTGACCTGGGTCTTCAATCTTGTAGAGGGTCTTGAAGGTAGGCTGAACTTTAGCTTTCTCAAAAAGCTCTTTGATGTCCTCAGGTGTCTCTCTGCAGTTGTGGAAGAAGGTGGTGAATGGGTAGTGGCGCCAAGCTTGTTGGAAGACATGCTGGCTGGAAGAGTTTGGACAAACTGATTGAACTCAGCAAGCTTCTCTCTTGATATGGAATTGACATACCATTCAGGTGGTGGTGTGATGGTGGAGATGATGGTTGATTGACTGCATGAGGGGCAATGGGAAATCGTGCCTTCTGAAAAAGTTGTGTATTCTTCTTTGTTTCACTAGTTGTGAAAAAGAACTCCACTAGATCATGTTTATCCCAAGCTTCTTCAAAAGTGACATAGAATGGAAGTGATTTCACCTTAGCATTGAACTCTTTAAGCTTCATGGGGCTTATCTTGTTGGGATCAATGGGATCATATGCCAAGTATCTTCTTCTTCAGTAGGTGGTGATGGTCTTTGCATTCACTTCCAATCTTGGAAGTTCAGAAGCTTGACTTCTGGTGTTGGTGAGAAACGAGGGTCAACAGGGCTAGGTGTATCCTTGCTCTGTTTTGGGGAAGCATTGATGTCGATGCTCTGCTCTTCATCTTCATCATTAGTTGTTCCTCATACTCTCTTTCTTCTTCTTCATTGTCCTCATGGACTTGGTAGTTGCTTCTTCTTGTGATGGCATTGCAATAAAAGGGAGGGTGGTTGGGTGTTGGACTCCTCTCTCTCTTGTACTTGGAGTGAGATGATCCTTCAAGGGCTTGTAGGCGGTTGTAGATTGATCCAAGGTGCTTGCTATTGCCATAGCTAGTATCTTCAATTCTCATGCTCTTGTTCAGCAACTCTTGATATTTGGAAGCAACATCAAGCTTAACTAGGTTAGAGATCGATCATGATCCTCTCTTAAGCTTCTTAATGTCTTCATCAAGCTTGATCACTTGCTTGAATAGGACTTCAGATTTGTTTCCAAGCTCTCATGGATGAAATCGATTCTCCTCTCCATCTTCTTTGTACTCTCATCTTGATTTCTCAAGTACTCTTGAAGCATACTTCAATCTTGGTTTGGCGCGCGGCTTGTGAACTCTCCTTGGGCAAAAAGAGGTGTCTTGATTTATGTCTGGTGATGATGGATGGTGTTGTGAATAGCTTGGGGCGTGGTGGTGGAACATAGATCGGACCCTGATGTACTTGCATTTTGCATAGTTTTAGTACATCTTTTATGCATCTTTTGCATAGTTTTAGCATCCATTAGCATCATATCTTGTTCCTTTTCTCTTCTTATGCATTCATAGTAGTTTTAGGTTGCATTTGCATACATATGCATGTTTGGTCCTTTGAAATAGGTCTTTTGGAGCATTCTGGAGCATATGGGACGTGAGGAGCATGGAGGACTTGGCGCATGGACGCAGCTCAACTGGATACGCAAAGGAAGAAGGAGGAAGCCATCTTGAAGACCAGCTCGACCATCTACTCGACCAACCGGTCGAGTTCCTCAACTCGACCGGCCAAGCTTCAACTCGATCGAGCTGAGAAGTCAAAGTCAAACCCGAAAAATGTTGCTTCCCCCTTGACTTTCCTTTGACCCTAAACCTAATCCTCTTTGTATTTAAAGGCTAAAAGCCACGAAAAAACCACCAAGCTTTAGATTACTTTTGTTTTAGTTTCTTTTAATTATTGTCTTTTACTTTTTAGAGCTCTAATCCCATCTTTGTGTTCTTGAAGCTCTTGCTTCTTGAATCCTAGATCCTGGATAATCTCTTTTGTATTTGCACTTGCTTATTTCAATAAAAGTTGTTTATCTTTATCTCCTCTTTCTTATGATGTTTATTTCATTGCATTTGCTTGTGTTTACATTCATGTGTAGTGAGTAGTTACCCATTAGGGTTTGAGATGGGATAGATTAGGGGTTTCATATGCTTAATCCTTCTTGCTTATGGTCTTAATCTAGATTCTCTCTCTTTTGGATAATCTTAAGGCTACATGACCACTACCCCTGGCTTGTATGTCCATTAGGCGATTCTCCACATGGAAGTGATGGAAATCGCTGGAAAAGATCCACTAAGAGCTCCAATACTCTTGCTCTCGAAATGGAGGTCAAGGGGTTGGATGGATTAGTTTGGGCAATGATCCTATGGCCTCCAAGGTTTGATTCTCACTGGCTAACCCCCTGTTTCTGAGATCATTCCTTGGTTGATAGCCTCCACCTTGGGAAAGGGTTGGCTAGGCATTGAGAAGCCCAATATCAAGAGAAGCCTTGATACAAGGAGTTTTAAGAGCAGGATCGATGAGAAGTTGAGAAAAGATGTTGGATAAGCTTATCTTAGCTCAGTCCACAATGAAGAAAGTCAATTTTGTGTCTGCTGAAGAGATGGAACCAGTCCAAGAAGGGGAGGATACACAATTTGCTGAAGTGTGCTACATGAGCAATAGGCAGAGAGGTTACAACAAAGGATACTATAATTACAAGCCCAACCCAGCCATGTCATACCGAAACACTGATGTTGCAAACCCTCAGGACCAGGTCTAGAGTTGAGAGACCACGTTCTGAGAGACCAGAGCTGATAGGACTTGTTCAAGCCCCTTGTGTGCTTGATGAAGAAAGCCTTCAAGCTTTGTTTGATGAGCCACTAGGAAGGGCTCTAAAAGAAGGGGAGGATGCAGCCTCTAAGGCAAGACCTTGTGGGAGATAAAAGAAAGATCCACCAGCTCAGGCCCCTTCATCAGCCAAGCCATCTCAGCTCACAATGACCTTTGTTCCCCACCAAGTTTGAAAATGGGAAGATTGAGTACAAGATAAGGTACAAGGGGAGATCAAGGCCATTCTCTAGAGCCAAGCCTTGGTGACTTCAGAACAGTCCAGGGACCCAACCAAGCTAAAGGAGCTTCTGTCTCAAGTCCTCACTATCACCCTTGATGGTGGGACTAGCTCAACCAATGCCTAAGGTAAAGGTCAAGCTATGGGACCTTAAACAAGCTCACTTGGGAGGAAGTCCCATGTTTATCCTTGTACATACTCTATTTATGCAATTCTCTATCTTTTGTGTTTTAACCTTTCAATAAGTTAAGTTTAGGTGACAAAGGAGCCAGCTCGACCGACAGCTCGATCGAGCTAGAAACAAGGGCAACTCGATCGAGTTCCACAACTCGACCAAGGTAAGTTTTTGAATTTCAAATTTCATAACCGTTTTCTTGGTCAAGGGAGTGGGTCCCACAAGTTAATTTTGGTCCCCCACTCCTGAAATCGATCAGAAAAATCCCTAGCCTTTTGTCCCCTCTTTATCACCTTTTAATCTCAACCACACATCTCAAACACTCCCTCTTCCCCATAACTCGATCGAACCCCTTCTCCATCTCTCCCACACTAAATTTCTGAAAATCATCCTCTCTCTCTTCACCACAAGAAAAATCGAATTCTCTCTTTCTCTCTTAAGTTTTTGCGATTTCTCTGTTCATCATCTTGTTTTGCTTTGTTTCTAGCTACTGTCTTCAATCATCATTCAAGCAAGGTATGAACCCTAAAACCCTTGAATCCTCATCTCGATTCTCTTATTGCTTGTTTCCTCTTTGATTTTTGATTGCATGTGTCCCTTGTGGGACTTGTTATTGAGTAATTGCTTCATATCCTTCTCCTGCTATATAGTTTTAGAATTTGCCTCACCTCACCTCTGTTTTGCCATTAAACTTGTTGCATGTGCTTGAAATTGAATTTGAGTTTGGTATTGGTTAGATGCTTGTTTCACTAGAATTGCTCATTGTTCCATTTACTTAGTTTTTGGTTCAATTTGATTGATTAGCATCCTTTCCAGCTCTTAATACTTGAATTAGGTTCGGTTATACTCTGTTTTCACCTAGCTCGATCGAGTTTGTCACTCGAGTTTTTTGACTCGATCGAGCTGAGTGTCGAGTTGACCAAACCGATCATTACAACTCTAATTCTTTGAATTTGATGCATTTCAGGTACTTAGTGAGAAACACATAACAAGGATGACAAAGGAGAATGGTTGAGGGTGAATCAAGCAATGCAAGGGAGAGAAGGCTTAAAGATGCAAGCCGATTTGGAAGAATGATCAAAGGATGGAAGAGTCTGATGCAGAGGAGTATGTCTACTCTGAGGAAGAGTCTGAGAGTGAGAGATTGAGGGAAGAGAGGAGAACCAAGAAGAGGAATGACCCATTAGTAGTGAGAGTGAGCAAGGAGAGTTTGAGATTGGGTGAACCTTGTTCAAGAGGAGAGTGATGGCTCTCCAAGTGAAGAAGAGGGTGAAGAGGTCAATCAAGAGGTTCATGGAAGTGAGCATGAGAGTAACCAAGATGAACCATGGAGGAGGCTGAGCCACAAGAGGAGGAAGAAGAACTCCCCATGTACCAAGAGCACTACAATGCTCTCTTCTCCATGGACTTTGTGGAACCAAGTACCCACATGTTGACACAATGAGGCCCTTGGAATCTTTGAGGATGTGGAGCTAGTTCTCAAGAACATGCACTTGGCCAAGTTCTTCTCTCATCGCATGGAATCCTACAAGGAGCTCACTTGCGAGTTCTTGGCTTCAATGAGGTACCACATGTACGATGAGGAGGATAGAGCTGATTTGGACCAAGGATTGGGATGGATCACGTTCTTGGCTAAGGGAGAGAAGAGAATGGTGACCTTTAGGCAGTTGGAGATCTTGTTTGGGTTCAACTATGGAGAAGGGACCAAGTGGAACTTCAAGGAAAAGGAACTCCAAAGGGTTTGGGCTACAATCGCTGATGGATACTCTTCCTCAAGGTCCAAGGCTGCTCAGATCAGGAGCCCAGTGCTTGAGATATGTGCACAAGGCACTGCCAACACCTTCTTTGCAAGGAAAGCAACCGGGACAATCAATGAGGGGAACTCAAGTTTCTTGACATGGGAATCAAGCCCATTCTCTCACGCACAAGCGATGGCAAGAGGATCAGGGGAGATAGGTCACACAGGGAACTTGATGCCTTTCCTTGACCATCTCCTCACCTACAAGATCACAGCCTACAACACTCGCATCAACAAGGGAGAAGCTAAGTGTTGGAGGACTCATCACTCCTATCTTGTGTGCTGCTGGAGTGAACCCAACTGATAGAGAGCCACTGAACCAGGTTGGATGGACATCAAGTTTTGCAAGTCAACCTCCTCATTGAGCACAAGGAGTTGGATGGGAGGTTCCAATTCAAGTTCACACATCCATTGGCTGGACCCTTCCAAGCTTCTCCTGCCCAACCCAGAGCTCACCACAGTGTAAGGGGTGAGAACATTGACTTCAGACCCCCTGTATACATTAGTTGGGCATGAGGATGATTGCGAGAAGAGGAGCCTGAGCTCGATCGAGCTGAGGATCGAGCTGAGGTCAAGCTGAGGATCGAGCAAGAATGAGGATTTGGGTGAGCCTGAGTGCTACTACTTTGAGGAGTATGAGGCTCCAAGGATGAACCCCTCTGTTGTGGCTGCTCACAAGAGGATTGGACTTCTCCAAAAGTTCAACAAGTGGCAAGGGAAAGCCATGAGAAGATGCAAAAGTCCATGGACAAGATGGTGAGCAAGATCAAAAGTTTGGAGAAGAAGGTTTCTGGTTCTTCATCAAGCAAGAAGAAGACACCCAAGGCCCCCACATTCCCTAGGAGTAGATCACTCCTCACCACTCCAAGGAGGCTCCCTGCCCAAGAGCCTCACAGAGCCTCTTCTTTCGAGCCAAGGGAAGGAGAGACAACACGCAGAGAAGGAGGAAGAGTTCCAAGGCCAGACGCTCCAGCTCGACCACCGGACTCGATCGAGTCCAAACAGAGGAAACTCAACTCGATCGAGCTGACGGTCGAGTTGACCGAGGAGTCAGTTTCGAGAACCCTGGATTTCGAGTACGATCACACCTTACCAGGACTTCCTCAGATGGACCCCTACAACACTTCGAGCAAGCCAGCTCCACCAAGGCCAAGGAAGCCACACCATTTGAGATGAAGAAGAGGAGAAGAGGAGAGCAAGCTCGATCGAGTGAGCCGAAGTGGTCATGGAGTGCTCCTGATGGCCGTCTCCCATCTCCAGACCACGACCTAGCCTCCCAGTTCTTTGGGGGGCACTGAGGTATCCAAACACCAACCCTTGTATATACCATTTCATATTTTCTTGCATTTGTTTTTTTTTTCTTGGTTTTGCCCTCTTGAATCTTTCACTAAATTTTTCTCACACAAGGGACTGTGTGATTTAAGTTTGGGGGAGGGTTCAAGAGATGATTTAACCTTGTTTTCTTTGTTCTTAGTTTTTCATTATCTTTTGCATAGAAAAACCAAAAAAATCATAAAATTTTCAAAAAATCCAAAAATATTTTCATCTTTTTGCATTCATATTTCTTAGACTTGTTTAGGATTGCATTTTTCACTTGCATTGTTGATTTGACTTTGAAAACTTGTTCATCTTTTGCGATTTCTTGAGTGCCCTGTTTTTAGATTCTTTTGTGCATTAGGGTGAGATTGATTGAGCAGCAAGAACCATGTTTATCTTGATCATATCACTGCATGCACATCTCATTCAACCATTGCTGTGATTTGATGCATTTCCCTATCTATTTGAACCATAACTTGATCTTTAATTACCAATGCTTGCATTTGATTTCAACTCATGGCTACATACATATATTTTCATATCCAGATAGCTGACATTGAGACTTTAAACCTAAGCCTTTTCATTTCAAACCCCATTATCCCTTTCTTGGCTTTGCTTAGCATAAGGTGTTGTGTTTAAACCGGCAGGGGCAGTAGTTCTAGTTGTCTAGTTCTCTTGGGATTGTTTTCAGGCTAAGTTTGGGGGTGCCAACTCGAGCTCGATCGAGTTGGGTGTAAAAACCAGAAAAGTGGTAAAAGTTGGGAAAAATCCAAAGGAAAAAGAGTTTAGTTAAGTCCAGGGAGTTGGCAGTGTTAAAAAGGGTCTAGTAAAGGTTTGGGAAGTTAAAAAAGAAGTAAAAAGGGTTCTAAGTAGAATGAAAAGAAGGCAAAGCCTCAAGTGTCAAAAAGGAAAGAAAAGTTCCCTAAGTGTTTAGAAAATCCCAAACCGCTAGATGTTACCTCAAGAAGCCTCTCCCTAGGAAGTTCTTAAAAGAAAAGTGAGCAAAGCTCCTCAGTTTCAAAGGCGAAATGCCAAAAAGGGTAGTTAGGATTTTGTTCTAAAAAGCTCTAAGTGTTGAACTCGATCGAGTTAGGATTAGGCGGCTCGAGCTGCTGTTCTTGCATCATCTTTGGTTCTAACACTTAGCCTTCTGCCAAAGCAAAGCCACTTTCTTGAGAGATCCCTGTTACTAAACCACCATACAAAAGAGACCCTCTTTGTCTCTTAACCCATAAACCCTTGAAACCAAATGAGTTGATTGATCTTGCATGTTTTTGGTTCACTGTTTTTGCTTAATGAATGTTAAAGGGATTTGCTGATTTGAATGCATTGTTTGAGTGACTGTGAAGTGGGATTGATGTTGATAAGCATGGTTAAATCTTAATGAATATCTCTCACCTTGTTGCATTCTAGAATCTCTAAGTTGGACATTTAGCAAATCGCTTTTGAGGACATGTTTTTAAGTGTTGAATCAGCTTATTTTCAAACCTCATCTCTTTCTTGTTCTATTTGTTTGCTTGAGGGCAAGCAAAGTTCAAGTTTGGGGGTGTTGATGTACTTGCATTTTACATAGTTTTAGTACATCTTTTATGCATCTTTTGCATAGTTTTAGCATCCATTTGCATCATATCTTGTTCCTTTTCTCTTCTTATGCATTCATGTTAGTTTTAGGTTGCATTTGCATACATATGCATGTTTGGTCCTTTGAAATAGGTCTTTTGGAGCATTCTGGAGCATATGGGACGTGAGGAGCATGGAGGGACTTGGCATGGACGCAGCTCAACTGGATACGCAAAGGAAGAAGGAGAAGCCATCTTGAAGACCAGCTCGACCAACCTCGAGTTCCTCAACTCGACCGGCCAAGCTTCAACTCGATCGAGCTGAGAAGTCAAAGTCAAACCCGAAAAATGTTGCTTCCCCCTTGACTTCCTTTGACCCTAAACCTAATCCCTTTGTATTTAAAGGCTCTAAGCCACGAAAAAACCACCAAGCTTTAGATTATTTTGTTTTAGCTTTCTTTAATTTATTGTCTTTTACTTTTTAGAACTCTAATCCATCTTTGTGTTCTTGAAGCTCTTGCTTCTTGAATCCTAGATCCTGGATAATCTCTTTGTATTTGCACTTGCTTATTTCAATAAAAGTTGTTTATTTCATCTCCTCTTTCTTATGATGTCTCTTTTATTGCATTTGCTTGTGTTTACATTCATGTGTAGTGAGTAGTTACCCATTAGGGTTTGAGATGGGATAGATTAGAGGTTTCATATGCTTAATCCTTCTTGCTTATGGTCTTAATCTAGATTCTCTCTCTTTTGGATAGATCTTAAGGCTACATGACCACTACCCCTGGCTTGTAAGTCCTTAGGCGATTCTCCACATGGAAGTGATGGAAATTCGCTGGAAAAGATCCACTAAGAGCTCCAATATCTCTTGCTCTAGAAATAGAGGTCTAAGGGGTTGGATGGATTAGTTTGGGCAATGATCCTATGGCCTCCAAGGTTTGATTCTCACTGGCTAACCCCCTGTTTCTGAGATCATTCCTTGGTTGATAGCCTTCACCTTGGGAAAGGGTTGGCTAGGCATTGAGAAGCCCAATATCAAGAGAAGCCTTGATACAAGGAGTTTTAAGAGCAAGATGATTAAGTGTAGATTCCCTGATTGCAAAACCCTGTCTTGAACCCTAATTCTCGCATTTCTTGTTAAAGTCGCTGCCTTTATGCTTTTTCTCAACTCGACCCTAAACTCGATCGAGCTGGTACTCTGTTCCACTCGACTCGAGTCCTTGGTCGAGCTGCTTTGCTTTTACTGCATTTCATTAGGTTGTTAGTGTTACTTCATTACTGCTTGCTTGACTTCCTGGTTTTCATATTCTCATAGAGTGACAATTTCCCATTTTGGATTGATAACCCTTATACTATAATGACTATGATGGTTAAGGGAATTGTTGACTGTGTTTGTGTTTGCATCTTACCACCTCATCTTATATACCACTGTTGCATTCCACCACATTTCATTCATATCTTTCACACCCACACACAAATCCTATCATCAGGAGCTCATCCTCCTCTTCTTGTGGCTCAGCCTCCTCCATGGGCTCATCTTGGTTACTCTCATGCCCACTTTCATCAACCTCCTGATTGACCTCCTCTCCTTCTTCTTCACTCTCAGACTCATCACTCTCTTCATGTCCAATGTTCACCCCAATCTCAAACTCTCCTTGCTCGCTGTCACTACTAATGGGATCATTTCTCTTCTTGGTCCTACTTTCTTCCCTCAATCTCTCGCTCTCAGACTCCAATTCGGAGTAGACATACCCCTCTGCCTCAGACTCTTCGATCCTTTGATTCATCCTTTCCAATTCGGCTTGCAATTTTAGCCTCCTTTCCATTGCATTACTTGATTCACCTTCAACTATTCTCCTCTGTGAAGCACGGCTTCCCTCACTGTTTGTCATCTTTGTTATGCTGTTTTTCCACTAAGGTTCCTGAAATTCATCAAAGATTACAAAGAATTAGAGTTGTAATGATCGGTTCGGTCAACTCGACAATCAGCTCGATCGAGTCAAAAAACTCGAGTGACAAACTCGATCGAGCTAGGTGAAAACAGAGTATAACCGAATCTATATCAAGTATTAAGAGCTAGATAGGATGCTGAACAATCAAATTGAACTAAGAACAATAAGAACTTGGAACAATAAGCAATTCAACTGT